TTTGAAGTGGAAACACCTGGTGATGGTGACATCATCACGAGTGCAGACAGATTCGTGAAGATCAGGAGAGGCACAATGAACCAAGCCTACAGATCCTTGCAGTTAGGTGAATACCTGGAGCTTTCTTCTTCCAGAAGAAACTGCTGGAGCTTTCATCTTTGGGTGTGCCCTGCTGGTATTGGAGCATGGTTTTGGATCCGTATAGTGCAATAGCTTATACCTTGCCTTAATTTGAAGCCCAATATAGAGGTAACTTTTGATGGCCAAGGTCTTTCAGCCTTTAGCAGAGGAAGAAGCTGGTGTATAAAAAGATGGTCAGCACTGGTACCATTTCTTCTGGCCACCCAGTTCTTGGAAAGCCCAGTTTCAGCAAAAAGCTCTGGATAATGAATATCTGCTGTGTCTCAGTGAAGCAGAGCAGGATCATAGATGCAGCTTTGTTCATAACCTGACTTTGTGCAGGCATCTGTGTGCAGGGCACTTCACTGGCTGCATAGCCAGTACTTCAGGAAACCAAGCTGCCTTCCCCAAAGCCATCAGCCTATATGCCTGGTTCTGTAAGTGTATACCTTGTCCCAGTTTAAATGAGGCAAGGGTCTTTTGCTGAGGGTGAGTTAGGAGAAAAGACCCAAACTTCTCTTTCTAAGCAATTATAAATCCAAAATTAAGAGGCTCTGATTGAAGGAAAACAAATTATGGAAAAGGGAAAATAACAGCCCTTTATTAAAAGGTATGTGTGTATTAACAGAAACATAGGGGAAAAAAAGCAACAAGTAAAACAACCAAGCAATACTCCTATGCCCATCAATAATACCCTTCAAGAACAAACTGATAAACCAGCAAAAGGAAGAGTAAACAGTTCCATTTTCGTGCCCCTTGGTGCAATTCCAACCACAATCAATAGGAGGCGCTGTTGGGTCACTAGAGATGCAAAACTTGTAATGTCCTGTACCATTCACCAGGTGGCGCTGTTGGATCACTGGAGATGTAGAACTTGTAGTGTCCAGTAAAAATCAACAACAAAACAACGACAAAAACACCCCTCAGTTCCCCTTCCCTTCCCACACCTCCCCACTGGGACAGGAGGTGGGGGGTGGGAGGGAAAGGAAGGGAAAAAAAACAACAATCAAACAGAAAGTTCTCCCAATGGAAGAAAACTCACAATCTTCAGCTGGTTAGAGCTTCGCTTTAAGCAGGGCCTGCAGCCAGCAACAGCTGAGCAGAGAGCAGCAGCAAATTCCCCTCCGACAGGAAAAAAAAAAAAAACAGGCCATGTCTGCAGCTCGCAGCAGGTCCCGAGCCCACCAGTACACCAGCCTCTCCTCCCAAACTGCATCCCAGCCACACCCCCAGCCCACCAAAATTCCTCCTCCCCGGTTTTCCTGGAGAGGAGAGAAAAAAGTGTACTTTAGATCCTTCATTTGCCTGTTTCCTAGGAGACTGGTCTCTCGGCCATTAGTGGACCTGCCTATTCTTTTGTTCACCTGATAGCTGCCTGATGGCCTACACACAGGGCACACACGGCAGGGGGAAGGGAAAGAAAAATTCCTTGCTAAAATCGGAACTATGACAACCTTCACTACTAAATTAAGCTCTTCTCTTCTTTCTCTTTTCTCCCATCACACACACAGGTGTCTGTCCCAAAAGAAAGTCAGTAATGGTATTGCAACTTCCAATTTTACTGTAGTAGCCGTGAGATGTGGTTGCTTTACACCACCTCTTTCCTAAAACAGAGGCAGAATTGGAACAGATTCCATTTCAAGCATTTAGCTGAACAGCCAGCAATGAGATTTAATTTAATTCAGAAAACTGCTTCTCACTAATTCCTTTAGAGTATTTTCATGATAATCATTTTCACATAGGCACAGGCCATGAGTGACAGAGATGATGTGGCTGCCACCAGCTTACTACATGTAATAAATTAAGAATGTAAGAGTGTAATAAAAGTAATGGAAAACTTGTAATTTCTCTGTAATCATAACCTTCTGTATTTTTTTTTACTCTGCAGTAAAAATTAATGGTAAAATTCTGTGTATTGTAACAAAACCCCTTTTCCAGTAAAACATAAGACACTGTTTGCCAGGAAATTCCTATCCAAGAACAGACAAAGAGATACACAAACCTTTTCTTAAGGTAAATGAGTAATCACCCCTTCCAGGAACTCAAGAAAAGGATCCTAGACAAAAAAATCCCTCTTCCAGGAAAAGAAAGATAACACAATACACGTTCCTTGTAAAAATTCAAACTCCAGTAAACATCTCATGTCTGACTACGGCGCGCTCGACTACAGCCCCTGGGACTTGCACATGCATACTCCGGACTTCGAATTGCGAAATACGGAGCCAGGAATGGTACAAAAAGGGAGAAGAAACGTTCAGTAGTTGCTGACTTTTGCCATGATGCAAAAGCAGCCGTCGTTCTTTTTTTTTTTTTCTGCTTGTTTTAATGCTTTTATAATAAACTATTTCATTATTGCAGCTCTGCAGCCCGGTTTTTATTGGTAATTTATAACACTACACTGTCAAAAAATTAGACACCTAACCTACCGGTTGACTCAGAAAGGGTTAGCTGCCCATGGATCCAATACAGCCAATTGAGAAAGCAATCAGCTAGTGACTAGAGAGCATTAAACTACTCAGAAAGATAATTTACACAAAAGCCCCACATGAAAACCTGAAAGTTGCATGGGTCTAGCTAACAAGAAGCAAGAGAAAGGGGTGTGTTTGAGCACTTCTGTTCCAGAGTTCAAACATCTCATTCACAGTTGTTACATGCTCCTATGTGATTCAGAGCCTTTTCTCAGAAGAAAGCAGAAATTCAGTAGGAATTATTTTAAAGGGGAGCAGGGATGGTGATGGTTACACCCATCTCACCTTGAAGTCATTCAGCAGTGCACCTCCCGTCTGTCAGCAAAGTGTCTTGCATAAAACACAACCACAAAGATGAATGTGCTGATCCCTCATCCTTCTCCCTGGGCTGTGTGACTGTTTAGTTATGAATGTGACAGCAAAAAGTGAAGAGCCGAGGTGGTCCGTGGGCACCAGATGAGGTTATGCTTTGCACTGATTTGTAGGATAAAAATCCCAGTGTGTACTGGTTTCTGTGGAGATTGGGGATTATGTGTTTTCAGCATTCTTTCCCTCAGTTTAGGAGTCTGTGGGAGCCTCTAAGCATCCCTCTTCATCCCACCCCAGCAGTAATAGCCTCAGGACAATTCATGCAACAAGACATGGCAGGTATTTACTAATACCTGCATAAACCAGCAACAAACAGTGCCTCTTCTGTAGCTTGGGATCAATGGAACATTAAAACACGTAAAATCAATCTTTGCAATCAAACCTGCTGCAGGATTTCCTCCATCTGCTCTTTAAAGTGTCTTTGCTCAACTTCCTTTTTTTTTAAGCATTTCATATAAAGTTTACCTGTGCTTCTCCTATTCACCAAGGAAACAACTTTCCTTGGTTGCCATACCAATACTGTTCTTTTTTAAAAGGGAGAAAAAGCTTTCCGGTGTCACCATGTAATTTTCCAGTAAGCCACGAGAGGGCAGGTTGAGCTCTCAATACAGCTGCAGATCTTTATGAGCAGCTGTTAAAACCAGTCACAGTTTTAAAGCCCGAATTACCAAACTAAAGGCCAGCCAGTGGAAAAAGGAATTCACGGGTCTCTGACTCTAGTATTTTTTAAGTGCATAGTATCAGTCTAATGCCCTCATTGCTTTTCTTCTGGAAAGGAAAATACCTTTCCACTCAATTTACAAGAGAGACCAGAACAACTCTCTTTTGCTTTACCCACCAGCTCTTAGGCAAAATCTGTTACAATAAGTTAGCTACTGTGCTACATTTTATATTTCTCCACTCTTTCTTTCCTTCCTCTACCCCACTGCCACTGTGGGGCAGTTTGCCAGGCACACCTTTGGGACAGCACTATGCAAACCTGCAAGGTGATGAAGCCAGTCCATCACCCTGTGACACCAAGGAAAAGCCTCATTCACCCTTGGAAATAGCAGCCTAGAGTGCCTCCTAAACTTTGGCATTCACATCCCACAAAGGACAAAAATGTCCACCCAACAGCATCTCTCTAAATTAGTGAACAGGCTGTTCACCCTGGAGAAGGGAAGGATCCAGGGAGATCTTATTGCAGTCTTTCAATACTTAAAGGGGGCTTACAAGAAAGATGGGGACAGCATTTTTAACAGGGCAAGGGGTAATGATTTCAAACTAAAAGAAGGCAGATTTAGACTAGACATAAGGAATAAACTTGTTACAGTGAGGATGGTGAAACACTGGAACAGGTTGCAAGGTGGTGGATGCCCTACCTCTGCAAACATTCAAGGTCAGGTTGAATGTGGCTCTGAGCAACCTGTCATAGTTGAAGATGTCCCTGTTGATTTCAGTGGAGTTGGACTAGATGACCTGAACCCAAATTCTTTTGTGATTCTATGTGAAGACCCATAGTCTTGTAGTGCTGGAAAACAGCTGACATCTCCTTGAGAAAGGCACATGGAGGTGTCAGACCCTGTCAGCTACAATCTGACACTGTTCAGGGTCCAACTGATGCGACACAATGTCACCAGGTCTCTGGAGACCTCATCTGATGTCCTCAGCACCACATAACACTGGTCCCTAAACAGTAAAAACCCCCAAAAGGCAGCCTGGGTTGATACCTAGGGTACTGGGCTGAGCTACTGTACAAAAAAGTGCTTCAACCTTTGACATCTTGCACATAAGCCAGAAACAAGTGCACTGGAATCCCCCAAAACAGCAGAAGTGGCATCACATCATTGTCCACCTGACACAGTAAGGACTGTCTGAGTGTGTGGTGGGTAAATAATAATTTTTTTACCCAAAAAGTCCGCATTTCAGAGATAAGTTTTGTGAATTTCACATATTCAAAACCTACTGACATCTTTCTAGTTCACATAGGCAGTATCAAGCAGGTCTAGAAGAAATACTAGAAACCGTTACTAACCAAATTTTTTTTATTCAAGGCTACAAAAGCAAAGCATTTTGTAAGACTCAGAACTCCACAATACAAAAAGTCTGAGCACTCCATTAACGTAATATATGAAGCACCAAAGCTGACACAGTCTGTCCAGGACTTTGTTTGTTGTACAAAAAAACCTGTCTCAAGATAACATAAGAAAACCACCCAAATGTGTTTCAAATCTGTGTCTAAATGAAGGAATATAGGGAATGTATAATGGAACGTTTAAGATGGGGTCTAAGTGAGTGCCACATCCAAACCTGATTCCTCACCTGCAGAGCTGGGTAACTCAAGCTATCTTAGTTTTATTACCTTGAGTCCTGGGTCCCAGACTTTGGAAATTTAAGTCTAGATTCATGAAACACTGCATCAGAGACAAGAAAGATGAGCACTTTCAACTTGTGTCCCAGGTCCCTCACAGAGATAAAACACAAGTGCATTCCCAGGTGTCAGGGAACTCCTGCTCTTAAATTTTAGGAGAGTTTGAGTTTCAGACTTTACCTATGGTTAACATCAGCTTGATTGGAAATAACATATAGAATTGATCATGTTTCTGAAATAAACTGTAATCAGGGGGTTCCTATATTATTTTGTCAAACAGCATGAAATAATGAAACATTTTAAACCTTAAAAAAAGACTATGTTATTCAGGATATTTATTGATAACTGTAAAATAATGTTATTCAAATATATATGTAGAGTTAATAACTTTCAGCACATCTTAATGCTCCTAAATGAAATCAAGAACACATTGAGGTGAAAAATTATCTTGGTTATTCAAGTTGGTTTCTGCTATTTCGATTCTTAGCTGTCTTGATCTAAATCTATAGAGGAGGACTTACAATTGTCACACACTCCAAATAACATTTAGTAGTGAGAAAAATCTAGCTTGTCTTGGGCCTTGCTCTTATGTACCCAGAGACTTCACACATTACAATTCACAAGATAAAGAGAATAACCTGAATGAGAACAATTTAGTCAGCTGCCAAAGAGGTGTGTGATAAAGTCTCAGCTAAGATCTCAGTAAGTCAATCAAGGTCACTTGCTAAAAGAAAGAGCAAAGACACAGAGCGAGGGTACTAGGCCTCTCCCATGTACTTTTTGGGGCTGAAGCTCACATTCATCAGTGGTTCAAAACCTCTTCTCTGCCTTCGGTGCTGGAAAAGCACAAGCAGCAGTACAAGCACCATCAGAGCTAGAAGTGCTCCTCCAATTGTAGATCCAACCATGATAGCCCAGGCTTGGGTTTCTTCAAGGGAACCTGGAAATATGAAATGACTGAAGTGAGAACAGCCCATTAATTATTTTCCAAATTACATGGAAGAAATATTATTTTCCACAACCTGATAACTATGATTCCTTGTGGTGCTTAGTGACCCAGAGGCCACAGAGGATGCTGGTAATGCACCATGTAACCGAGATACATACTAGAGCTGGAGACATTTCCTGCCGGAGGAGTTTAGAGCTGAATTTAAAGTTCAACATTTTATACAAATCAAAGTGCTGGGAATGGGAAAGATTGACAATGACAAGATTAAAAAAAAAAAAAATCCTTCATCTAATTTGGCCAAAATTATGAATTATTTAAGCAATCTATTCTATAATAACTTTCCAAGAAAGCTGCTTCCAAGCTATTTTGGTCAACAGAGAACCCTCAAATTTTCCTGTAGACCACAAAGCAGCTTGTTGTCAAACTTTTAACTGAAAACACTAATTAGCTGCTGACCAGCTCCAGATCATATCTGCTGATTTTGAACCACTTCTGAGGAACCACTGTCTTCTAAGATAATATTGCCCATTCCAATAATAACACTGCTCTACTTGGCTGAATTTTTGTGTTTTTATTTATGATTTCAGAAGTAAAATTGCCTGCTCTCCTGTTCTAAAAAATGCTACATATACTGAGATGTAATAATTATGTTTGACTAAACATTCACAAAAAACTCTGAAGATGACTTCAGGTATTTAGAATTTAGCTTGACAAATGGGCTTAAGGAGACAGATGACTCAGGGAGACATCACACTGACAATAAAAGCAGCTGAAAATCTTGTGCCCCAGTCTGCAATCTCTGTCAACAAAATAGTTGAGGGCAATCATTCTGAAATTCAGCAAGGTCCCAAAATGAATTGTCTATCACTTTACCATCTTTCAAGATCTACCCACATATGTTGATTTTTAATGTGATTACAAAAAGTACAATTAGGAAGTTATATACTTAGATAAAAGAGAAGGTTTTGAATGCAAAAGCTTTATTGTCTAAACAGAGGCCATGCATACACCCCTTCACAGAGAGCTAACAATTTATGTAGGTGGAAGTTCAGAAGCAGCAGAATCACAAGCTGCCTTTTTTCCTCTCTGGGTGCCTCATGCCCAAGGGGCAGCTGAATTTTCAAAGCAGAAGGGTGCAGTAGTCCAAAGGGAAGAAAACTTAAAATCCATAAGAGGGGAAGTTTAAATTTTCAGGAAAAATTCTAGGGATGACCCTGAGAAAAGCACTGCAAAAGCAGCTCCCGTGCCTTTACAAATCAGGGGTCTCCTCCATGAATGCAGCCCAAGGACAAAGGCTTCAATCTTTTGTAATCTATAGACCTCTAAACAGTCTCCACAGATTAAAACTGCAGATATATGGTAAACATTTAGAAGAAATTCCTGCACACATAGGTTAGATAAGCACCTACTGCCTCTCAAAGAAATACTGAGCTGGAGAAAGAAACTGCTCAGATTCAATCTCTGATAAAGCAGCTGAAGCATGATTTTCATTCATTTCTTACACTTCTGACTTTTACAAATATTTGTAACTCATATTGAAAAATTTGGATTTTGTGCATTAATACTTCGCTTTCTTGTTATTTTGTCTCTATCTGAGACAAAGGCAATTTTAAATGAATAGACAAATCCTAAGGTACATCCCACCTGTGGACAGGGAATATCTGTAAAACTGGGGGTTTACAACACAAAACATCCAGTTTCATCTCTCCAGGGTATCCAAATATTAACAGAGTCCATCTCTAATGAGAATCATGGTGCAATGTTATTCAGACTCCTGGGCTGAAAAAGTATTTGTTAGTGACCGGCGTTAGCCTGAGGAGCTCTCTGCAAGAGTGTCTGCCCTTGAATGGGTTAAAGGATCTTCTAAAAAGCATAAACAACATTGGGAGCAGGAGTCAAAATCAAAGACTACTGAGTCCCAAAGGAGCACCATTCACAGCCCTGGAACAGTTCCAGCTGATGTGTTTTGCAGCAAAGGAAACAAAGTTTGTGCAGACTCATAGTTACTATGGCTTACACGGTGAGTTGTGGCTACCTGTCTTTGCTACCATCAGTGTTTGCAAGTGAGCAGGTGAATAGACCCGTGTGTTTTGTGAAAGGTTCCTTGTCTTATATACGGTTGTGTCGTTGAAAATGTGAGCTGTCTCATGGCTTGGCCTAGAACAGCGTCCACACCTCTGAGGCATACCTGGCAGGTCAATGGCATAGGTGTAGCCAAGCTGCTCCGCAGTCTGGAAGAGCTCATCGTTGGTCACAGGAGGGAAAAATGGGACCATGTTGTACAGTCGGTTGTGACCGATCGGGGCCAGCTCGTCAGGCCAGGCATTTTCATGGGGCTTAAAACGCTTCATCCACTCATCAAAGATGGCATCAGTAAAAGAGTGAAGAACCTGCAAATCCAGGCATGGGCACAACACATTTATTAAGCTCTTTTAGAACTCAACAACCTTTAAAAAGCTCTCACCTAAGGTGGCTGGAGCTCTTGAAAGAGAGAAAAGAGGATCATTTAATTTAGATGGGATTTACAGAAAGGGAAACCAGGAAAGCTCAGAAGAAGACTAAACTGATCTCATTCCTGGGACATTCTGCTGTATACATCCTAGTTGCTGCTTGTTCATAATAAGCTTGTTCATAATAATATCAGCTGGTATCAAATGGACAGGTTCACCTTCCCGGGTGAGGGACCACTGAGCTCAGTCAGATGAATGTACCTTTCAACATTATTTTAATAATTCTCATCTCTGAACAAGTATGGGAAGTTGCAGGAAATTTGATTCCATCGTGCTCATTTTAGAGTGTGCCACTGGCTCCACAGCTCCAGGTGCCCATGAATTTGATCAGGTGTTGCCCAGTGTGTTTATAGGTCTATAGTTAACTAATACAGCAAAGTTGCTTCAGACAACTAATACAAATGTCTGGAACAATTCAAACTGATTTCCTCATGTAAAACATGCACTCATGTTTTTTTAATTACAACCCTGGAAAAAACTTAGAAAATATCATATAGAAAATAATCTCGTGTATAAAATTACAGCATAGTCAAATAAATTTCACTGTGAAAAACACTAATGTAGGAATTTAAGAATTATTAAGGAAATAATCTAGAGAACCACTACACGAGTATTTGGACTAATTTCTCCAATAAAAGATCGTGAACTTAAAATACAGGTAAGAAAGAAACATATATGTCTAATATATAGATGTAATATATAAAGAACTTATATATAATGACTGGGGTTTAATCTAACAAAAAGGAAAATAAATCGGCATGAATTTATTAGGAGAGAAAGATGTATAAGCAGAGTCAACAGCTGGCTTTTTATTTGCACATTGCTGTTTGTGCTGCTCATTGCAGTGCAGCACTATACCAATGGACCAGTGAAACCACATTATTTCTATTTCCCAAGAGACCCTCACATTAGATGTGCTTCCTTTTAGCCTGTAAATTTTGAAACAAAGAAACAAACTACTCAATCTACTGCTTTAAAATAATTAGTCCCACTTTCAGCTTATCTAGCCGCTGTAAAATTATCTGGCATAAACCATTAAATTTAGATACCACATAATGAAAGGATTCAGAGGAACATGACTAGGAATAGCAGCTCTTCTCGCTAGAATCTTATTTTATATTTTACAAATCACCCTGAGATTTCTTTCCTTTTTTATTTGATCATTATGCAGGTGTGGAAGTATTCAAGAAAAGATAAAAGATTTCTCCTTTTCTATGAAAAGATGAATTTTTAGGGAATTCACTTTACTTGTTCTGCAAACCTTTGGTGAGAAAAGTGCCTTTAAGCCACAGCCATTGCCTATCAGTCTGGGGGGTAAAAGACATACCACAAAGATGGGATCATTGGCAGCTGCATGAGGAAGAGCACTGGTCCCATTCAGGAAGGAGTGAGCCAAGTTATGAAGGCTCAGCATTGACGAGTTCAGGGCTCCATCTGGTTTATCGAAGCCCTCCAGCGCATTCCTGCGGATGGGTAAAAGCACCATCAAGGAACCATATTTTGCTGACAAATGTGCTTATACAGAAAACCAGTGACCTATACAGCTCTAGAGGAGCTGAAGGACAAACCTGAAGCTGAAACTGGAATTGCGGAAGAAGGGGGGCCTGTCGAACTCCTGCAGGGAGAGGCACTTCCTGACATCCTCCGCGGTGGGCAGCTGCTCACTGGAGCCCCTGGGCAGCCTCCGCCGCAGTGGCCCTTCATCAGTCCCATTGCACAGCGTGACCAGGCGGTTGTAGTCGTCCAAGCTGAGCAAGTAACAGAAAGAGGCACAAGTTAGAAGAAGGTGATGACTTGTTTGTTGGCTTTTCCTCCTGCTGCATGAGAGGCCTCAGCTCTCATGTGAGAGAGCAGAGGTTTGGGACAGACACTTCCTGGGGCATGTCAGTTCACCTCCCACAGGACATGAATTTATTGAAGGACTGTCACCGTGATATGGCTTTCCGAGGTTCTGCATTGTCTGTGAACCATCAGTCATTTGGACCAAGAACTACCAGGTTCATTGTCCACAGAGAAATGATGATTTAAAAAAGGGAAGCACAAACTGCCATCATGCCTTCTATCCTCTCAAGGGTTTTAGAAGAACAGTTTTCGTCAGGCAATCTAAAACAGTCTTTTCAGTTTTGAACTGACAAACTTTCACTCCTGAGTAAGGACTATTTTTTTAACTCTTAACAAAAAGGGAAAAAAAACAACCAACCAAACAAAGAAAACAGGAAAGTCCCACTGTGGTCTGAGCTAAGAAAATGAAAGAAATGACAGAAAACAGGATTTCACTTTCCATCCCTCATCCCCTTTAGAAGAAAAGCAACTACAACTCATTACATCCTCTGTTTTCAAGGCCTGGAAAACATCTTGCTGATACAGGGGTTGCCCAGTACCTAATGCAGATCACGTCCTTCATTATGAGGGAGAGAAAGAGGGACAGAGGAGGAGAAAAACAGTGTAACACTTCTGGGGAAAAAAAAAATCTGTCTTATTCAATATGAAATGAAACAGCATTTCCAGAAACTCATGAAGTAAACAAAAGTTCTTCTCTCTTTAACCTTGCCAAGGCCAAAGTTTAGTCACTTCAGTTTTCAAGAAAAAAACAAAGCCCTATTTATCTTAGAGGAAAAGTAGAGGCAAGATTTAAAGCCAAGTGGTGCCTAAAGCTGGAATTTCAAGTAGCTCTTTAGGCATCCAGAGAAAGATGCTCTTTTGAAAGGCCTGAGCTTTTGGTACTTTTCTGTCTGACTGACTGCATGCTCCCCCTGAGCTGAGAGAAGAATGATAAATGGGTATTGTAACCAACAGCATCTTATGTCATAGCAGCCCAATCCTGCATCTGAATTCAACATCAAAACCCTGCTCTCACACGAATTAGTGTATGCCTATAGAGAGCTGGTAGCAAGCTCCTGGCTGGCTCTGTGTTTTCATGTGAAATCTCAGACACTTCAGACTCAATCCCCAAACTGCACTAAATATATCAGGGTTAAGGTCTCCCCCAAGAAAAGGGAACAGACTTTTTAGCCTATCTCCAGTTTTGTATATGCCAAAACAGTTTTCTGTTTCTTCTGCTGAGATTGGTTGAGTGTATGTTACAGAGAAACAACACACAGGCATTTCTTTTTTAGAAAGATACTTGCAAAAGTGTAAACTCCTCAGACTTTTGGTAGCCATAAATTGGCTGAATCGACTAAAATTCTTTACCAGAAGTATCATCTTTTAAAAATAGATTTCTATAATACCAGGTGAGAAAGTTTATACAGCAGATCTACGCACAAACTGACAGGGATTTCCAGTTTTAAATAAGACATCTTGGCTCTTCTCCTGCTACTCACTCACACTGAGAGAGCAGCCCGCACTGTGAATGCTGAATGAAAGCAAGGACTGGTCAGCGTGCAAGCTTGCCCTAAATATTTTCATACCTGTTACAAATCACTTGCCAGCGGGAGAACCTGGAGCTCTGGTTGATCAGCCCTGGGTCATCAGGCCGCGATGCTCCAAAGAGCTGGTCCGTGCAGATGTCACACTCATTTCTACCCGTGGCGAAGTTCCAGTAGGGCAGCGCAAAGGAGTCGTTGCCCGTCAGTCGCTGCAATGGACAGAAACGCATTAGCAGGGAGTCACCTTCCAAGGAAAGAGAAAGAAAGGGATTCCTTCAAGCTGTTCACTTGGTATTCACTGGATACTTCACTGGATATTCTGCTTTTCATTCTGCTTTTCAACTACACACATTTTACAGTGCTACTTCAACTCCTTTCAAAAGATTGGGGCGTTAAGTCAGTCTAAGCAAAGTCACTGTCACTAGTTTCCCTACTGTGGGAATGCACTTCTTTTGGCCATGTTAGGCTTTCTGCCCACTCAGAGATCAAGCAGGAGAGCAGAAGCAGAGATGAATTGAGCCTTAAGCAACTAAGAGGCTTTCTGAGTGATGTAAGTGGGTAATGGGTAAAATTGTGCATGTGGTTGGCTTTCATTCCAGAAAGGCTAACCCTGGGGAGGAATCTGAACTGGTATTAATAGGGGAGTACAGTGTATTTGCTTGTGCTTGCTTGTTAGATATGATTTCACACAAACAACATCCTGCAGCTACTTTAATAGCAACCTTTTTCATTATGAAGATCTGCAAGGCTGAAATACAGTAACATTGCCAATGCAGATGTCATGCAAATGGAAATGAGTTAATGCTTCTGTAATTGACCATCAGGCATGTTAATATGTATATCTTTAAAAGATGTATTGCTAAATATACATATGTATTAATTGTATAATATGGCACATTTATAGGGAGTACTATTTAGAGCTAGTTGCATTGGGATGGCATCTTCAAAATCAGCAGACAATATCTGTTACCAAGTTTTACATTAAGGTGTTGCTTTGATTTTGATAATATATGCTGTTATTTTACATCTTCTGTCCTCTGTTGTGGAGATGAAGGGAAAAAATCTCCATGATAACCTTGACGTCATTGTTCACAGTGAGAAACTGTTCAGTCCTCTGTATCCTGGAAGCCATAATTTCACCCAAAACAGAAAAAAGGATCAGTGAGAAAATGGGAGTTTGAGTAGGAAACTATCCTAGGAAATAGCTTACCCTTGGCTGGCTCAACAAAGTCACATAGGGAGAAGCTGCTAGAGGAAAGGGAAAAGCTGTTCAGCTAACCTGCAGGTCTCTCTCCAGCAACAGCAAATGGTACCTATGCCAGGTGACAAAGGCAGGTCCTTGATGGGAGAAATCAATACCTTTGAAGGGGCGGCCAGGACCTACAAAGGAGAGATCAAATAGTCATTTAGGCGCCAAATGAGGCTTGAGAGAAAGACAGCACCTTCTTTTATTGCCTAGAGTGGAGTTAAACAAGGACTTTCAGCTCAATATATTTGGAAAGAATGCACACACTAGAACCTACATCACTTACTTGGGACAAGCAAAACAAACTCCTCTGGTGATATTTCTTCAGTGCTTCTCAAAATTTCACATTCTCTACAAGGTTGGGTATTGTGAAGATTTCTTCTCACTTTAGTGGATTTTGATTTTAAAAAGCAGTTTTACTTTCTAAAACCCTATATCCTTGCTAATATGTACCACATTATCTCATTCTCTTGCTCAGCTGCAGGACTTACACCATGTATCTATCAAGAGAACCTCAGCATTTTCCATAATATGCCAACAGTAACTCAACGTTCTTTGCCAATTTTCTCTTAATTATGTGCTTGTTATTATGTGCTTTTAATTATGTTTGTTATTTTTTGTATTGTATTTTGCTGTTGTGCAAGAACTAAGATACTCAAAGGTGAGAGGCTTCAAACAACATATGGATTTTTTATCACTGCAGCAAGTTTCAACCCACATATGTGCTTATTTACCATTGCAGCAGCACTAGAAATTGCCTCTTTCCCTTTCCGTATGACTGTCCTGTTCCCTGAAGGACCTTTGCTCTCACTAGGCCAGAGACTGCTTCCTTCAGCCCTGCAAAATGGAACCATGTGAGAAGGGCAAACTGAATGAAACCCACTGCAGAGTAGCAGACATCCTCCAGCAAGGAGACAGATACGGGTTGTTCAGCTTGCACAGAGGACTGCCAAGTAGAAAAGCCATACTGGTTGGTGCCTCCTCCTGCAAGAAGTAGGCTCAGTGAAATGGGGTTGGTATAAGTACTTCTGTCTAGAAAAGCAATCAGGACTAGGAATCTGGACTTAGGAGAAAGCATGGGATTATATACCCAAACCTCTAACCTTAGTTGGGTTTAAAAGCCGACTGTGGTTAGTCAGGCAAATCCCATCCTTAGTGACTTGCTGAAGACTACAGAAAGCAGTAGCACTCTGGTCTCAAGTATCTGTGCATGGTCTGTGCCTTCATCACTGCAGAGCCCCTTTACCACTGCCACTGCAGACACTACCTTGTCCTGTGAACTAGGAACATCTTTTTGAAGTCAGTCACTGCCTGGTCACACTTCAGTTCATTCGAGGGTGAAGACTGTGCACTGCCCTCCTGCCAGATGGAAGATGCACTGCTGTGCTCCAGCTGCCACGAGGTAAGGGACCAGACCACAGCAGGTCCAAAGGACACCTTCCTTGACTATTCATGACCACCAGCTTCTCACCACTAACTGTTTTCCTCCACAGCTCTGTCCCTGGGACTCACTGCTCAATGAGGTAGCACAGCTATGTTAAGCATCTACCTTTGTTCATCAGTGATACTCATCAGCCTTTCCTTTACCTTCAGAGACGGTTTTATAAGAAAAGCACTAACCCATTAGCGTGTCTCTGACTGAGTAGTAATGAAGCCAAACAAAGTAGTTATAAATACTACAGTTGGCAATTTGCGGTTCCTCTCCGGTTGGACCAAGCAGACTTCTCCAGTGCTGAGTTGCAATGACGTAGTCCGGGTGAATGGTTGTCTTTGCACGGTCTAGAGCATCGAAGAACTGCTCTCTCTCCTCTGCTGTCAGGGAGTGGACATCCTTCCTGACAACTGCTGGCTTCCTCGTGTTGCATTCAGGGCCAGTCCAGCCAAACTTGCAGTCACCACAGTTGTAGCCAGCAAAGTTTCCTGGATCAAGAGGGTACAAGCAGTCATGACATTAGGAATCAGGGAAAACTAACAGTGAAATGCAGAAGAATTAAGATTTAGCACTCTTTTCCCCCAGAGATGCCAGTTCCTGGAAGGGACAGCAGCTGAGCAGATTGGCAGCTTTGCCAGTTGCCTAACCAGAAGGATGGCTGGCTCGATTCCCAGAGCCACGGTAGGGCCAAGTATCACACTCAGCCAGATGGGATGTGAAGCGCTGTGTAATGGGCTTGACGCCCTGAGGTGCTCAGAGCTCTCCAAAGCCTTCAGGCACGTGAGGAGTCTCACTGAATAGAGAGCTGAGCAATTGAGGTTAAGACCGTGATGAAGTGCTTTGCTGGATTGGTTCTCAAGTACTCCTGTTCTTCAAGGATCAAACCCAAAACAGGGTCAGTTCACGTGGATCATTAAGCAGAGAATAAAATCCCCAAGCAAAACAGTTCTCTTGAGGACAAAACTTAGGAGAAATTAGCACCTCTTAACAGTGTGTCACAAACCAGTACAAGCACCAGGGGTGCTGCTGGTCAGCTTTAAGCATTATTAAATGGTGCTGCAATAACAGCCTGAGCAAAACTGCAGAACTGTGGTTTCCTGCTGGCATTATTCCTAAGGCAAGTAATTAGATCTGCTCTAGGCTATTAGGTCAGACTCTCCGATGTGATGGAAGAGTCCAGGAAAGCAGAGCTTGCTTTAAGTGTGGCCTCTTGCACACTGTGGCAGGCAGCTGGCAGCAGTAGAAAGGCCGTGCTGCAGCTTAATCCCCCATTGGTGGGGGACACAGGGAACAACCTACATTCCTGCAGTGGACACCTGTCTCCTGCCTGCACTGCCAGCAGGCTGCTGGCATAGCAGTGCTGTAGGACAGTGGGCATTGCTGCCAGGGGAATAGGGGAGCAGAGTGGCAACCACGGGTTCTCTGGGATCTCCATTCCATTCTCAAAAATCTATGCTGAGACTCCTTAACCCAATCTCTCCCTCAAGCTCCCTGTAAACACTCACTCCACAACAATGATGCCAATCATTTTCAAAATGCCAGAAAATCTCACTGCTTACCACACATATCAGTGCTGCTGGATCTAGGACAGTGTTCAGGCTAACACGGGGATAGGGAAGTGTCTTATGAAATGTTCTGGGATAGGCAAATGTCCCTAGGCTGTAGGCTTGAGTCTATGAGCACAAGAACAGGTAACACCAAAGTAAGATTTCAGATTGCCAGGGGCTACAGAACCTATTACCAAATTCAAAGACCCACGAGGTTACAAGGGATGTGACCAAGAAGGCTCAGTAGCTTATGGCTGTCTCTTAGGGGAAGGGCTGACTTTGTTCCAATGCAAGTAGGAGCAGCTGGGTTCACCTGCCATGTTCCAGCTAGGGTAGAAGGCACGTGAAGCCACAGGTCTGCATGGGTTTAGAGGGATGAATACATACACCAGTAAAAGCAAGAAGGTTAGAGTTTTATGAAAGAAAGAAGATTGTATGGATATGTTATTATGATGATGGTAGACATGGCAGAGGAAACAACACAGAAGGTTGATTTGATCCCAGTATGCTGAGGATCCCATCAGAACAGCATTATTACTGTTATCTATTTGGTGTGCTCCACTGTCTGTGTACTTGCTCATTCTTCACAGCTCAGCCTAGCTTTTAGGGCCTATCCCATAACTACACATACTGAAGTGACCAGATGACAAATACCAGGAATATCTTCTAACATTGCCTAATTAGGCCACATATATTGCTCAAGTTTCAGTCATGGACCATGAACCTCTGGAAAGCATCTGTTGATGCCTCATACTCATCGAGGCATCATGAGTACATTGAAGGAACACTTCAATCCTTTTTGAGAGAAGGACAAAAAAGTAGGAAATAACCATAAAAAGATCTGTCAACAACCTCCTCTGAGACTGGTGGTAACACTTCCAGTCATTTAATGGACCCCTCTACTCACAGTGCTTGATAAGCATCACATAGCACTATCAGAACCAAGGTCAGTGCAGGACCAGGTTTGTCCTGTCTGGTCTTAGTACCAGAATCAGGCATTTCCCAGTCACTTGTCGAGGCTCTGATGGTGTCTATTCCTCTTTCAGTTAGGGCCCTTTGAATCCATGCTGGTCTTGATGCCTGAAATCATTTTATCAGGCAATATCTCTATTTTAGGTATACTCTATGTGCCTCCTCAGCCTCTGAAAAAAAAATTGCAAAAGCGTGAAACACTGAAGAATCCACATGGGAAAAAAAGCTTTCCTCTTTCTGTGTGGCATTTGGAGCCAGGTGGACCAATGACTTCTTACCTGTTTTCCTTGGGCAGGTGATAATTATTTCCAGTCGATGCTCTGCAGGATTTTCTCCCTTAACCACCAGATCTATGAAGGAATCCAAGGAGTCTATTCTTTCCATCACTTCCCCAGACACTTTTCAATGTGACCTGAACTTTTACTGAGTAAGTAGGAGGACTGCAGTGGAGACTGGCAAACAGGAAGAGACGATTTCCAGGGAAAGTGGTATTTCACACTGCAATATTTCTGTTGATTGTGTTGAACGTGTTTGTGCCATCCTTGGGTCTATTTTACAATGTTCTATTGTCAGAAACACACATAATAGCAACACTTCATGATATCAAAAGTTGCTTTTTGTCATTCTCTTTCAACAGACTCCTCACATCACAGGTCTGCAGCTGCAGCAGCTGAAATCAGCAAGAAGTTGATGGAGGTCTGTGAGATTTCCTATACTGCAAACAGGAATGACTGCAGTAATCAGACCTACGGTTTTTTATGTCCCACCAAAACTGCTTTTGCAGCATTTGTTTCTAAAGCACTCTACCAGGCCACTGGTCTGGAAATGATGCATTGCTGTTTTCAGAAAATTCATTTACCGCCTTGTGGACTTCCCACATGACAATACTGTGAAATGTATGTCCTCTTACAACTTAACTTCTGTGTCTGCAATGCTGGTAATGGTGTACAGCTCTAGGAGAGCAGGGCATAGCACACAGTAGATATCTTCAGTAAGGCAGCTAAACCCATTCAAGATCATTTTGCACACAGAAACCGCAGGAACATGCAAGGATTTAGGCCTTAGCATTTTTTCATCTTCACTGACTAACGCCCAGCAACTCAGTGTACTACCTCCCCGAGGCTATGCCAGGGACAACAGAGATTATTATCATCTCTTGTGGTTCCCAGAGAATATAGTGCTGGAGGTCATTCCAGTGCCCAGGCAGCAGACAATGTCACTGTTGGATGCTCCTGGTTTGTTGCCCTATTTCCAGGAATGACCACTGTACTGCTGCTGGTCAAAAAAAAAGTCATCTGGGATGTCTTCTCCACTAGCCTTCTTGTCTGGATATGGGATAACATGCCTTGGGGCCTGTCTTCTTCTGTGACTAATCTCACCAGCATTTATAGTGCTCTCTCTCAGTGAAGTTGGGTGAATCTCACCGTTTCTGTAGACACTGTGGCCATGCTACTCCTCCCATTGGGTCAGTCCATGGACACGGCACTGAGACAAATACACTTCTTATGACATGACACTTCATATGTGTTTATACACATCATTGGTGTATACTAACACCTGTCATCACATACCACTGTAGCTGCTTCTCAAGCCCAGAGACTGCCTGAGCTCATGGATTTTTCTGCCTCTCAGAGGTCGTAACATGTGGTTGTCCTTCAGACACCAAACATAACACAAATTAATTACTCCATCAACTCAGTGTCTTTTATTCAGTAAAAATGAACCTACTCAACACTCCCCATCTTCTGCCTTGTTTTATTGTACCAAGATGAAACCCGAGCAGCTGCCACACCTCTTCCTTCCACAGAGACCAGCTTAATACACATCATTTATTGGATGAGGAGAAAGGACTCCTTTTCATGCTTCTTTAGCCATTGCATTAAATCAGGAGTTACATTAGATTTGAAACACCAGCATATTGCAGTATCCCAAAGGTTAGGATCAGGATTCCTACCATGTGAGACAAACGGCTAACTCTCCTCTCTCTTCTAACTCTTCATTTAGACATCCTGGTAGTCTGTAGGATGTGGAAGATCTGTACCTGCTCCAGGATTTAATGGGATCATCAAGGTACGGCTATTATTTAGTATTATCCCACAGGCACATTCTCCTACAATAAGTAATTTAAGTGTATTTTATAACTACTTCAGAAGCTCAATTTTATCTCAGGGGATGCTCATCAGATGAGTTACACGGCTTAACTGAGAATATTCAGCAGATGCCCACATATAAACCTTAGAAAGTGGCAGCAGGAAAAAAAAAAGAATTATAATTATGTTTAACTTCTCAGTGAACTCAAACTACGTCATTGTTTAATCACTGGCACAATCTGTACTAGCAACCACATGACTGACTGCAGTGGTTTTTCACAATAGTCTTGTGTATTGAGTTTTTAAAGTGTTATACCAGATATGTATCTGTAAAATGTTATCATTCAGAACTCAAATAGCATTTAGTTCATAAGTCCTCTAAAATAATTTTCTTCTAAATTAGATTTATCTCACTGAAATACTGCTTTGTTGTCTAGCTAGCTACAAGTCTCAATATTCAAGGTTAGATTAGTGTATCCAACACTTTGTCTAATTCAACATAGACACCTTATTGAAAAACAAATTACCAGATTCCCTTTCACACAGTACTGCACACTGTCAGGATCTGACATCAGGTCATTTCAGTTTAAGAATTCATATAAATTGAATTAATATTAGGTGCACCCAAACCAATTGAAGAAGATATTCAATTAATTCAAAACTGAAAATAGACAGGAACTAACAACTCTTTGCTACCTTCCAACTACATTCATGCCACAACCCCATATTTTTTATAGAGATTATATTTCTGCTGCAATCAGCACACTGCGTGAAACATGCAGCAAGCAGCATCCTGACAACAGATTTCCAGTTGTCTCTTTGACCACGCCCCTTGGTACAAAAAATGGGAAGCAAAGCTGGATCTTTCTGTTGTACTAATCTTATTCCATTTTTCCCCAGTTAAAGAAAGACTAATGCATATTATCTGCTGAAGCCTAGAAATGGAAAACAAATTAATATGATCCCATAACCATTCATCAATACTTGCATTTGGGATCTTTTCCCTTTTCCTTCCTTTGCCTTCCCATTCCTTCCTTTTTTTTTTTTTTTTTTAATAAATATTTAGCGTTCAGAACTGGATGGATATGATTTTAAGACTTTTTACCTCAGTGAACAGCTTCAACAAATGGACAATTTTTCATTGTTCCTTTCTCCTTAGAGAAGTTTTTAGCAGAAAGCTCAAATGGATGAATTTATTGTGAAAACTTCAGAAACCCCCTTTTGGAAATTCCTGGCCCTGTTCCTTGTAGCTCCTTCAGGTTTCTAGCCATACAGGCACCAGTTATATGACATGTTTAAATGGTACTGTCTAACCAAATAATCAGCTACATGGTAGCTGGAGTTCCCATGAGGTTATAATTTACACCATGTCTAAACTCTAAATTAAACAGTGCCAAGACGGCACTGGAACACTACCATTTATACTGTTAAAGTGCTAGAAAGAGACCTTGGAGAGGCTGGAGTTTGCATAGTCTAGGAACCATTTCAAATAGGCAGTTTGCAAATAATATTCATTTGGAAAATAAGATACCTTAATAGTGCACTGTTCCATGTCCCTTTGAATGAACATATTTAATTTATCTTACATAGGTACCATTATGTTACACAGGCACCATGGCACTGAAGCCTAATAAATACCCCATGTCATGTCACTTAAAACTCTGGTGTGCAGACAGCCAACCAGTGTATAAAACCAAGTGGGGAAAAAAATACAAAAAACTCCGAATAGACATAGAGCCACAATTACCAGCATTGTAAAAGCATCAGATCTAATTCAAATCCCTCACAGCTCCAGACTTCTTAGAAATGTCTTTGCATACAGTATCAAGCAGAGTACAGCCCAGGAAAACTTCTTCCACCTTAATGTTTTATCACTAGTATATTTAGATTTAAAAACTGAAAGGAGAAAGAGGAATCCAAGTGAAATAAAAATACAGCAGGAGAACACAAATTGAAAGAGACAAGGAGAGCAGACAGTTCCGCAGTAGTAAGGCTGAATGAAAGAACACTACATTCTGCTCACGTAACTTGGGATTCAGTCCTGCAAATATCAAATACCATCTTGATCTCTGCTTGGATAAGAAAATTAATGTCTGCCTATGCAGACCATGTCTGTCTCCATTGCTCTTCACTTCCAGGTTTTCATGTCCTAATTACTTTAACTAGGTAAATATGGGTGTATGCCCATGTGCTTTAGCATTCTTCTGACTCAGGGTTTGTGCCTGTATGTGATACCTGACTTAAGTTTTGGAGGTATATAAGAACCTTTAAAATGAAAAAACCTCCATCCAATTTTTTTTTTTTTTTAAAGTGTCTGGAAAAGTTCTTCCACACTTCTATTTCAAGTATTTGAAATCCAGTCAAAGGAAGAGATAAAAGCTGATTTATATTCTAAAGTCTCTTGTTATTATTTTTAGGAGTTTCAGTAATGCCATGTATTTGTTTAAGTCATCTGCTGCTACCTCTCTGTTTCCAATTGATAACAGCATTGGAAAACTTAACCTTTTGGGCTGAAATTTTCTGCAGTGCTGCCTTCTCAGATTGATCTGGGCTTTTTTGATAGTGAGAGACAAGATCTATTTTAGACTAAACAGTTCAGCTATTTCTAAGAATCAGGCTGAAGGAAAGTAGTCTATTCTTCCCAGGTTAGAAAATTCAAACAAACTTGTTTTCAACAAGAAATCCCAGGCTTCATTTGAAAGCTGCTTAGTAAGTGACTTCAATGCCTGGGATGTGCCTTTTGCCCACCTCCTAGTGTCATCTCCTCGCTCAGTCTGCAGTTCCTCTCATTTTAATTCTCCTTCAACCAGGTCTGTTGCTGAGAAAAGTCCTATCACCTTATCTGCCCTGACCTCACCTTCTTACCCCCTCCCTCCTGCCAGCGCTAGTGAAGTGGTCTTCTTAAAACCTTATCCCAAATCCGTTTCACCTCCAGCATGCAAACACAGGAGCCCATGTGAAGTCACTAGTGAGAAGGAGCAGCTGGAGATGGGGAGAAAAAGGATGGGATGGGCTCTTTGGTGGTTGTATAGACACATTTTGGATCAGTGTAAGTTGTAGACTTAGTTAACAACCCTGGGAAACATCTTGGCCAGACATCCGGACATTTTCACTGCCCAGGGCTATATTGTGCTGCAAAGTACTACTCCGAAAGGAATAAATCTCTGATCAGTGCACACTGATCCAGGTTCACTGCATGATTAGCAGTGACAGAGGTTTGAATACAGCACTGGAAGGTCCAAAATCCTGTGGAGAAAGGTAATGGGTGGCTACAGGGACACCTCCGGGGCCAAAGAGGAAAACACAATAGTTTGCATAAGAGGAAACACTTCTTTGACCCTGTTCCTCTGAAAAAGTGCTGATAGTATTATAAACATGGCAGATGTTTTAGGAAATTAATAATATTTGAAGTCTTCTTGGTGCCTTATGCCATCAGAGATGTTTCTTGCCTTTGGAGCAAGGTTAGGAGACGTATCCATCCCCATGCCCTCCCTCCAGCACCCATCTCACCTGTGCACCGACAGCTATGATTGAAGAACTTCAGGGGCCACCGTTCCCGGTCATCCACATTTTGAAGGGTGTAGGGGCCACTCCAGGGCTGAGTGTCTGCCTGCACCCCTTCACACCGTCCCCTGCCCTGCAGGGACCCGCAGATGTTTCTTGGCTCCGTCCCCAAGGCTGGGCAGCAGCGCTTCAAGCGAAGGGCTTCCACCGTCATGCAGACACGAGGAAACTGTGCCTGTGCGGGACAGCAGCAGCTCAAGTAGCCCAGCCCAGCCCAGAACAGCCACCTCAGGATGCCCATTACAGCTGGATGCAGGTTCTGCCTTTCCACTGGACCTGAGTGAGCGGAGCAGGGATATCTCTGCCGTGGGACAACCTGGCCTTGCTACAGCAACGTGCCCTGGCCAACCAGGGTAATCCCTCTCACTCCTGAGGATGCTGGTGTTGGGTGTTTGCTTAATCCCAGTCTCTTAATTGCCTTGAATGCAGTTCAAAAGGTGCTTTGACTCTGTGGTGCCTGCCGAGCAGCCACAGCTTTGAGCAGGGTTTATATAGAAGCTGTGAGAAGCCCTCATTAGAGGGATTAGCACAGCATAAATCCTCGTGTTTTGCACATGACATCAAGGGCAGAAAAGATGCCAGTGTGAAAGTAAGTTCTGCAGACTCTGGCAGCTTGTCAGGAGAATGAATGCCTCAGATTTATTTTGCCAAGTCTTTTACGAGCTTTGAGAAATTGACAGTCTTGTTTTAGTTGGGATGGCTGGATAAACATGTTTATTCTTTTAATCAAAACCCTGTAAACAGAAATAAATAGAAGAGGAAAAGTCTTTTCTTTTAGTTTGTTCACTGCAGGATAATACTTTCCACTATAGCAGCAGCAGTAGAAAACTAACTGGAAGTGCAGAGGATATAGGTGCATCATTAACAAAAATTAATAAACATGGTAGTATAAGTATAAGATGGAGACCCCACCTGCCAGCTGCAGAACTCCAGTGCTTTTACTGAAAACATCTGAGTGGCAAGTGGAGAAGGACTCCCTTCCTAATAACTATTTCGCATGCAAAATAAATTATTTAATTGTTTTTAAAGGGTGAGTGGTCATTGTTTGCTCTCTAATCCTTTCCCCATCATTACACCAGAGGTTGTTTTGGAGCTGGTCTGGCTATTGGACTTTCAAAAATGTCACAGCTGAGCATTTATTACCCACCTAGCAGGAGACAGTCTATGAGATCAATACACACAGCAGACATGCATGCAAGTGGTTCTGTTCAGAACATTGACAAAAATCACTTTTAAAAGCTCCTAGTATGCAGCAATTCTTGCCCACATGCAACCCTTGTGTGATAAAGAAATAAAATTAATAAATCAAAATAAAGTAGTTATACGTGGTTCCTTGAGTCTGAAGTAATAGCTATCACTGACTGACTATGTGACCAACACATCTGTCCTTGAACAGGCAGCAGTCACGAGCATTGAGGCCATGCTGCTGAGAACACAGCTGCGCTGGGCAGGGCACGTCTCCAGGATGCAGGACTACCGCCTCCCTAAGATCGTGCTCTATGGGGAACTTGCCACTGGCTGCCGCAAGAGAGGAGCCCCGAAGAGGAGATACAAGGACTGCCTGAAACAATCCCTCAGCCTTGGCCATATTGATCATCACCATTGGTCTACCCTGGCCTCCAACCGGGAGGCCTGGAGACACACCATCTATAACGCTGCTGCTGCTTTTGAGAACACACGCAGGATCACTCTCGAGGAGAAAAGACAACGCAGAAAGAATCGCGTCTCGTCAATATCACCTGGGGAGTCTTTCTGCTGTGCCTTCTGCAACCGGACTTGTCTATCTCGCATTGGCCTTTTTAGCCATCAGCGTGCTTGTAGCAAGCGTGGGTAGAAGCCCTTCTCAAATCCTCGTTTGCGAAGCCTAGCCATGAATAGCTACCAATTCAGGTTCATCATACTAAATAAAACCTGGCAACTCGCCCTGCTTCTCTGTAAGGTTTCACTACCTTCCAACTCTGTTGTTTAGCCATTTTTGTAAGCATGTATAATAAAATCTGCCATGGCTATGTCTGTGCTATTCAATATTTCAATAGATGTTCACCCACACCATTCTGGCACAAGAAGTCCATGACCTATGCAGCCAGTTATTGTCACCATGCAGCTAAAGAGTTCATCCACGCTGCAGACACTGTCATCAGCACTTTCAGGTTCTCGCATCTTTATGTCAAAAACTTATTGTTTGCCAGACAAATTGAAATATGATTCTACCTCATTTATGGAGGCACAAATTAGCCATACCACGTAGTTTGAAATGGGTTTCAACACATCTCACTTTGGATTCAGTTTACCTGGAACTGACTTTTGCCTGCTGCTCTTGACACAACACATGAAAAACACAGAAAGTGTGAATAGCTGCTGAAAAAAATATGTAGAAGAAACTCAGGAGTTATAAATGGAAGCACTGACTCAAAAAAACTCTGCACAACACTCTTTCCCATATTACTCAGCACTTGAATACACCTCTCTAGTGTGATCAGTCTTTGACTAACCTAGATTCAAAGTTACCAACATACTCTCTGAAAGAAATTACAGTGAACACATCAGCATCACCAAAATAAAATCAAAACATATGTATTGGATTCAGCTAACCTATCATATCCCTGATGTGTCTATACATAAAATGTGTCCAAGCAGCCATTACAATCAAAAGTGACTCAGTTCAGACACCCATAAGAAGGGTGACTGGCATTTGTGACCCTATAGGAGACAGAAAGAGTAAGCTCAGAGCAAGGCAAGGTTTTGAGGCACGTAAGTCAAGGAAAGGCAAGAAAATGTGCTTTCAATATAGTACATGAGGAAGGAGAAAGAGTGTGGAGAAAAGGAATAGCAGGCAGAAGACAACATGGAAATTACTTGATTGATGAAGGAAGATGAAGGAAAACTGTGAGTAGAAGAGCAGCACACATGTAGTTTTTATTACGAGAGCTTTACTCCATCTCAACTACATAACTGGGAGCATGCAACAGCATGTAGTCCTAGTAGAGATGTAACACCAGCCTCTGCTGCTCTGTAATGCATCAGCATTTTGGGAGTGCCTTTCCTGGCCAGGCAGGGAGAATCAGGACTGACAGAAAAAGGACAGAGAGATCCTACATCCTGACGCCACTGTGTCGCTGGCATTGGTGGTTGCCTGCTGTTGCATGATACACTGTGAGGAAGACACTGAGCAAAATTACAAAAAGACAGTTGTCTTTCAATCAGTCATTGGGAAAACAGCAGGCACTATCCATTCCTTGGTGCGTTGCTGTTGACTAGGTCCCACATTTTTTCCTTCAGCAATTACACACTTAAATAAAGGAGCTGTTGTTGGGGCTGCACAGCATCAGCACCATACCAGTTTACATAATAGCATCTTGAATGACTTTTTATTTACTATGGAGTTTTACTCTGTCTTGAAAAATGAGTAGTGCTGTGTGCTGGTACTACTGCCTGAACTGCCTAAGGACTTTTAAGGTAGCAAATCTGAGCATGTGAGCCACAGCCAATGATCAAAACTGTGACTTTACCACCTTGTCCACACATACTGGGCTTGCCTGCCAGGGTTTCATAGCTGGGAAGCTACAGAGGTGGCTTCTGTGAGAAGCTTCTGGAAACTCTCCCCATGTCCAACAGAGACAATTCCACCTGGTTGTGACATGGACCGGCCGCTGGCCAAGACCAAGCCCATCAGCAATGATACATCGGCAGTGATGTATCTGGGATAACAGATTTAAAAAGGGGAAAGAAGTTACTGCATAATGGCAACTGCAGAGAGAAGAGGGAGAATAAGTGAGAGAAAGAGCTCTACAGACACCAAGGCTGGTGAAGAAGGGGAAGGAGGAAGAAGAGGTGCTTCAGGCACTAGGGCAGAGATTCCCCTGCAGTCTGTAGAGAAGACCATGGTGAGGCAGACTGTCCCCTGCAGCCCATGAAGGTCCACAGGGGTCCAAGTTCTCCACTTGCAGTCTGTGGAGAACTCCACACCAGAGGTGGATGCCCGACAGAGGCTGTGATCCTGTGGGAAGCAGGCTCCTGGCAGGACCTGTGGACCTGTGGAGACAGGAGCCTGCACTGTAGCAGATTTGCTAGCAGGATTTGTGTCCCTGCCAGGACCCACACTGGAGCAGTCTGTTCCTGAAGGACTGCACCTGTGGGAAGGATTCACATTGGAGAAATTCATGGAGGACTGTCTCCTGTGGGAAGAACTCCAGGTTGGAGTAGGAGTAGAGTGTGAGGAGGAAAGAGTGGCAGAGACAACATGTGATTAACTGACCACAGTCCCCATTCCCTGTCTCCCTGTACTGCTGGTGGGGAGAAGGTAGAGAATTTGGGAGTGAAATTAAGCCCAGGGTGGAGGGTGTGATGAGGGAAAGGTGTTTTTAAGATTTGATTTTATTTCTCATTACCCCACTCTGATTTGCCTGGTAATAAATTAATTTCCCCATTTGAGTCCGCTTTGCCCATGACAGTAACTAATGAATGACCTCTCCCTGCCCTTATCTCAGCCCACAAGCCTTTTGCTGTATTTTTTCTCCCCTGTCCAGCTGAGGCGGGGAATGACAAAAGGGCTTTGGTGGGCAACTGGCATCCAGCCAAGGAGAACCCAGCACACCACATGTCTGAGCTACTACGTCAGGCTACCACATCTGAAACTGTGTTAAATATACTAGTTCAAATATTTAGGCTTTACACTGAAAGTACAGGAAAACAGGATTTCAGCTACTTTGTAGTCTGGATTCATGACCAGGGTCACCCTCAATAGCAGACTTCTCATCCTGTCATCAAAGACAGGATGTGGCAAAAGAGGAAATAAAGAAAAAGAGTACTTCAAGGTACAGGCAGAGAAATCACTAAACACAATTCACACAAGTAATACAGAATTCCTGAGTAGTAAGTAGGCAGTGGGTTCACATTTTTTTTCTCAATGACACTATTGTTTCTCAGGCTCCTTCTGCTGTACTCAAGCACAGATTAACATCAAGCCAGAAAAGTATTTAGCCTTTGGCATTTTGGAAGGAATTTTGGTCAAAATAAGACATTCTACATATAAACTTGTGTGGAAACCAATATATCAATAGAAAGAATAAATAAATTACATGTTATTTCATAAAGACAGGTGATAACTCTAGAAAAAACAAGAAGAAAGATAATTCTATAAGGAAACCTGCAGCTTCCAGACACATGTGCATGCTCTAGGTTTCCTGAATCTCCTAGCAAATTTAAATCTTTGGGAACTCTCAGCACAAACTACCGCCCTTTCACCACCTTACTCTTTGTCTCACTGTTCTGTATGTGGGAGAATGAGGCCAAAGTCTAGGCATGCCAGAGCAGCTCTGAAGATCTCATGATCCTGCCCTTGCACAAAATCCTTCTTCATATAAACAGGGTCTTCATCTCCTGGCTTCTCATATTTTTTATCCAGTCCCTTTCTGATTTGTGGAATTCTTTTCCTAAAAACCAATTTTTATGCTACAATACGTTCACATATTTTGTTAGAACAGAAGAGGACCTCAGAGAAGAACAGTCTGCTCAGGTCTCATGGAAAATACACAAGATGAGTGCAGCCAGGAATTCAACATGAGTTAAAGAGAGTTTCACAGTCATATGTGAGTTTTCTTTCCTCAACAACCATAAGGCTGCTGTACTTATACCCTATCAATCTGGATGCTGGATAACTCAAGCTTTCCCTGTGTCACCAATTTCACATCATCTTT